AATGAATAAATCTTAATTTTTTATAAAAAAATTGTGTTTTTTTTCTTAAGAATTATTTCAACCCCCACAATCACTTATCATCGGAGGTGGTCCATCAAAAGCATCATCATTGTTACTTGGATAATGTTTCCAACAACGTCTGCATTTTGCAATCTCCCAGTCAGCTTTCACAGCATCAGTCAACTTGTCCCAAGCCTGATCAATACTGGATGCGGCGGTGAAAAGTACAAATGATTGGGATAAATATGCAATATCCTCAAGATCCATTAAATTCAAGTTCTTCAATTTATAGTAAACCTTGATAGATCGATCAGTCGATCGTACTATCCTTTTTTTCATTCTCCAGTTTTTAAGTAATTCAACATTTTTTTGAGCACTGGGTTTGCCTTGGGTTCATCTATGTAACTACGGAAAGGATATGTACAAGTTGGTAAATATTTGAAGTGACTAAGTGAGGGGCAATCATCATAGCATTCTTCAATATTGAATACTATCGGTGCTAATACAGGACCGGTAATTTTTTTTCAACCACTCTTTTTCATCTTAACCTTTCACATAAATTTCTTATATTTTCCCACTCTTGCACAAATTGTCCAATTTGTTCATATGATCTACCTCCGTAGTACCAAGAAAGTCCGTGATGATTACGCTCGAGCTACAGATTCACACTTCTGTATTTTACTGGTAACACCTTGAAGCCATAATGTACTACTCGATCATGCAAAATGAGACAGTAAGCAGCAATGTCCTTGGGGATGCTCATTCTCATTTCAAATTCTAAACGGACATCTATCGGACCAAATTTCAAGAATTCATTTTGTTTAGAACAATCAATCACCACCAGTGGTGTAATGGTTGAAAGTTGTGCTTTACTTAATAATGGATTGTTCACTTGTTGATCATAATATGACGATTGAAAGTTCGAATACATATCATAAAGTATAGAATACTGATTCTAAGTCATATCTAGATCTAAATTTCTATAAGGATAACATTGAGAATGTAGGAATAATTTAACATCTGCAATACTACAATGGTCGAAATTACTACAATTTTTCTTATACCTATTCTCTCGTGCTGTTTGGAAGCCCAGTATGACATAACGCGGTTTCTCGAGCTGAGTCGCGGTTTTCACCATCCACACGTGTTTGGTTGTCTCTGGAAGCATCGGATACTCATATATCTCCCATGACCTGAAGCTCATCGATATTGCAGGATCTTTCTCGATGAAATTTAGCAACTCAATTTTTTTAGTATCCGATAATATCACATATGGGATCAACCACTCGATTTTGCTGAATGTGACTTTCACATCTTCCTTTTTTGTTTGAACCGTAGCATTATTATCATGATGAGCTCTAATTAAAACGAGCTCATGTTTCACGTTGACCATAATTTTTCGATAATCTTCAGCAAACCCCAACAGCATACTCAATTGGGGACGCTCAATAAGAATACGATACCTAGTGGGGGCCTCAGCAACTACAAAAAATGGCCGCCCAACGGGTTCTGTTGACATGATCATATGCGTGTATACGTTTACTCCAATTTGGTGGTTACTTTTGCTCCATTCCGTGTCTTTTCCATATTTTATTAAATATTTTTGTCACTGCTGCTACGTTCAGCCCGTGTCGAAAAGTGCCTTTTCGTTTACAAGTTTCGACTTTTCGTTTACTAGTAAACGAAAAATGGCACAGTTCGGCACTCGCTGAAGTAACATCACTAACAAAAAATATAGTTCGGATACACGTGCGACGGGGTGTTTTAATTCGTGTGATTGGAACTTCATACTCGTTACCACCCCGTCGCACTTATATCGAAATATACTATTATGTCATCAATGGAAAAAGATCGAAATCCTACGAATAAAAGTGCTAGAAAAAAGGTGTTCAAGTGCAATGTGAAGGGATGCATGTCCAAATCTTCCAACAGTGATGGATTGTGTTACCATGTTCTTCCAAACAGAAATCGATTATTTGTGAAACGATTAGATAATCATCACTGGTGAAAAAGTAACCATTAATCGTTATGAACAATGGAAATCAAGGTCTAAAATTGATAAAGTAAACTCAGCAACAAGGATTTGTAGCTTACATTTCACACGAGAAGATTTCTCGTTGGCTGGTATGTATTTTACTGAAATTCGTTCTCGGAGAGGAGTAAAGCTCGAAAGACGTAATTGTTCTCAATTTAAATCGACGTCATATCATGTAACCATTATCGATTTGATTGCAGATTTTGAAAGTAAACGGATTACATTGAATTCATATGCATTGCCAAGTCGGAATTTGCCAACAAGTGATGAGAGATTACAGGCCAATGAGACATCCCCCGCCACAAACATTGAATTCCATCGTGATAAGGAAAAGGACGATTATCAGTCTCCTGGAAGTGAAGGCAGTTCCTCTAAATTTCAGGTTTGAATTTTTGATTTTTTGTTCTGGTAAGAAACACATTCAAATATAATTGAACAGTTGGATGGAGGCTCTGGTGAATCAATCCCGGGAGTCAGTAATTTTTTTCTATAAAATTGGATTTTAATTCATCTATCCCTATTAAGGGCACATTTAATGATGACTTTTACCTTTTAATTATTCATTATTAATGGAGGAGTCATTTAACGCTGTGTAAATGATAGTAGGATTATCTCCCAGCCCAGGGAAGGTCTCAACCTTAATGTAACCTTCTTCGATCCCTTGGGATCGGCTCTCGACCCAGAGAGGAAATCCCAAAGTTGTATATTTATTTTATAATGAAATATAATTAAAAATTTCATTATCAAATAAATAAATATCTCTGGGATTTCCTCTGGGTCGAGAGCCGGTCCCTGAGGGCTCTGACGGTGGTTATATTGATTTTGGGACTTTTACTGGGTTGCAAAATAGTCCTATTATCATTAGAAGAATGTTAAATGACCCTTCAATTAACAATTAATAATTAAAAAGTAAAAGTAAAGTTGGGTAATATTACGTTGGACGGCCACTAATAGAGTGGTTGTAAATACATGTTTTTTGAAGGTTGTTTAACACTATTTTGTTTATATTTTGTTATTTAAATCATCTTTATTGATTTTTAATGAATTTACTCCCGGCCACCGCACTCAGTCATGCTTCCAGGACCGTGACGTGGACACGGCGGGGCATTGGTCCCAAAAATGTTGGGAGTTAATGCAATAAATTGCCAATAACCCCAAATTGTAATGAGAACCCCTCCTGTAAGATGTGTTTACAACCTCAGTAGTGTAACAATCTTTCGATGAGGTTATTTCACAAACAACTCCTCCGTCCTTCTAACGGTAAATTTATAAAATTAAATTTGTTGGAAGGGAACATTTATTTTATTTCCTTCTTCCATTACGCCTCACCTGCTGTTATTTATTTGTTACACATGAGATTGTATTTCCAGTCTGTCAGATATTCGTTTTTGGGTCTAATATTCATAAAATTTCAATAAAATTTAAATTATTTAAAAATTCAAAATTTGAAAATTCGGGTTTGTCTGCAAATTTATTTTAAATTGTCTAGTAAATTTCTAAATTCCACTGCCTCAATGGTAGACAGATGTTGGAGAAACTTTTTGTTAATCTCTTCAGGTTTAAATAATTTCTTGAACACAAACTCTGCATAGTATAGTGGATAATATTCTTTTTTACCTCCTTTTCGAGGGATTTCTTTTTTTATGTTGTTCCACATTGACTCAATATTTTGAGTATGTATATTGTCATCTGGATCCACAAAATTGTATTTGTGGTTTACATATTTATGTACGTACCCATGGTTGGTGATCCGTCTGTATGCGGCCCAACCATCTGTGTGTATGGTAGTACCCAGATGTACATTATCCTTAATATGTCTTATGAGTGTGTCTGAAGTTCTGTCCTCTATTACGAGACTAAATGTCTCTTGAGTAGTTCTGTCTATCCCGCCAAGGACCCAGTACCCTTCTTCTCTATAAATTGATTTTTCCCCTGGACCAAACCTAGTTCCATCGATTTCAACTATATGGTTGATGCCTCCCAGTTTTTGTTTATTTTTATCTATATATACTTTACATATTAACCTGAATATTTTATTCAGATTGACTATAGATTTCTCTGATAGTCTTAGCTCTCCAGCCAGAAACCTCTGTGTTGTGCTCAGACTGAGTTTAAATGCAAAAAATTTGAAAACATCAGTGATTTTTATTTTAATAAAATCAAAAATTATATTGAAGTAAACTTTTATTTTAAAATTGCAATTTATACGTTCATTATTATTATTGTGTTCTCTATTTGACAAAACAGAGCGTCTGCATCTGAAGTACAAACTGTCTAGGTTTAACCTCAAATCAGACTCACATGTGGGACATTTTAATTTATCATTGAAGATGTTGTATTTTATTAATAATGGAATCAAAGTTTTTTCTGAGTTTGAAGCTATTAGAAATTCTGTGAATTTCATGTTTAAAATTTATAGTTCTTACCTTATTTATTTGAAAATAATAGAAATTAAGCAGAAGCAGAGAAAAGAACATGTGCACATGCAGAAGTCCAAGCGTAGAGAGAGCTGCGCGCATGCGTAGCGAGACCTCGAGGTGGGGTGTTGGAGATGGCACACAGACATATATCGGGTGTCATTTTCCGTTGGTATTGGTTCATGGAAGGTGTGAAAAGAGTTGAAAATAATTAGTATGTTGACTTGAGATTTTTTCAAAAAATTATTGTCATTGGCCGCTGAAAGTAATATAACCCAAAGTGATCATTATTACAATGTTCAAGGACTTTTCAATAGATCATGAATAAATTACAATCCAATTTTTAAAAAAGAATAACCAACTCTTGGTTCAACCTCATTCCGATCTCGGAACGTGGAGACTTCCTAAACTAGGTTCAATTGAACCACAAATACGAAAACTGTTTGTAAATATCGATGTAAAAATTTGTTTGCAGGTGGAAACGGTGATCACAGACACTATTGATGCGAGGAAAAATCTGTTGGGAGTATTTGAAGACATTGCGGACAATGGATACTATTGATAGAAATGTTTCTTGTGGAAAAGAAAACTGCATCGACCGTCCACCGGCAGTTGCGACGGACGATGACTTTGCAGAGGAGAGATCGATTGAAGATCTACAAACAACAAAATCAGTATCCCATGCAGCTCTTGAGTGTCAAGATGAATTCACCCAAACTTCATCTGAATTCGAGGATAAAAATACGCAAACAACATCTTTAGAGAGTACAGAGAAAGGTGTTCAAGTTCAAAGTGGAGATATCTTGATGCCGTTCTCGATGTGTATAATGACTGATCGTCACTTGAATGTAATGTATGGTATCCGGAACCATGCAATTCTAAATGAATTAGTCGCACTAATCTCTGAGTTATACCCAGAAGTTAGGGCTCACAAGATGACATTGAAAGATCGCGTCATTTTGACGACAATGAAATTAAAATTGAATTTACCATTTTCGGATCTGGCCATTATGTTCAAAAGTGTTGAAGAACCAACCTGTCGAAGAATTTTCCATAGCATGTTGCCAAAATTATCTGGGATACTTAAATGTACGATTCGATGGGTCTCTAGAGAGGAAATTCGGAGGAATATTCCAAAATGTTTCCAACATTTCCAAAACACTAGGGTAATCGTAGACTGCACTGAATTTGGAGTTCACAAACCGAAATGTTTACAATGTCGAATAAAATTTTATTCCCAATACAAATCAAATGTCACAGCCAAGTTCATGACAGGGGTGAGTCCAGGAGGCATGTCAACATTTCTGAGCAAAAGTTACGGTGGACGAGCCTCTGACAAAGCGATATTTCAACAGAGTAATATTATTGATTTAGTAGAGAAGGGTGATGCTGTGATGACCGATAAGGGCTTCCAAATTGAAGATCTTTGTATGAATCGAGGCGTTCAATTATTTATACCACCGTTTTTAAAACAGAAGAAATAATTGTCTCCAGCCGAAGCTATTTATAATCGTTTTATTGCTGCAGCTCGAGTTCACGTCGAACGCATGAATCAAAGAATTCGAGATTTTGGAATACTTCAGAGTACAATCCCATGGAATTTGATTGCAAGTACTGATGATATTGTCAATGTATGTGCAGGGTTGGCTAATTTAGGTACACCGATCATGGCATTTGATAAATTTATTTGAAAATGCAACTGAAATAAGATAAAATTTATAAGTGTAACTTTGCATACAAATGAAAATAAATATTTTTAATTTTTAAACGAGTCTTGAAATTGTTTGTGTTTGCACAATACATGCAGCATCTTTGAAAAATAAACAAGTTTCAATTTGGGAAGCAGCTTGCATACAAATTTTTCATTATATGTTACTATAATAATTTTGATATCATCAAGCTTTTTACAATAAATTGCCAAGTGACAGACAGGCAAGTTGAGCAGGGCCATTCCCAATTGGACTTGTCCATTGTAACCACATTTTTCCTTCAAGCAAATCTTATCACCAACCAATTGCAACCACCTACTACAACATTTGAGTACTGATGCAGTGGAGAAATCAGGTAAATCATACACACACTTAATCTCTATTAATATTGAAGGAATGTGGGCTCTGAAAACGACACCATCTGGACTATAAGCAAGCCAGGGATTCTGGTGAGAAGTGATGAGACCAAATTGTTGAACTTCTACATTCCTCTTCAGATTATACAATTGACGAGCACGAGGCTCATTCTGAATTCCAAACTTAGTATATTTATTGGAGAAAGATTTGGGCCCGAAATATGAACTTGTCCTCGTCTCCCAATCCAACTTAGAATATGTAAAAAGTGCATAACATCTACTTCCAGTGACTCGAAACTTTCTTGCTTTTTGCCATAGTATTGTATTAGATTGGGTGGTAATTGCAACATCTAGAATATCACAAGCAGCTATAATAGTGTCATAAATTTGCGAGCAGCACGGTTGCATTATGGTAGGGACATTGAATACATTGATCATAGCTGCAGACTGTAGAGAATTAGCTAGCAAGGCTTTAATGAACTCAAAATTTGGGGAGACACTGGGAGTTGCAGGTGCTAGTTGACAGTGAGTCGAATTAGTAGGTTCAGAGGAGTCAGGATCAATATTACGATATTTTTGTTGATGAATTATGCTGTGATCATCACACGACATCAATCTATCAAATACAAGCATTTTCTTTTCACTGAACAGGGACAATGAGGTAGATTTATGGTAACAGCAGAAAGTGGATACAGGCAAGGGTTTGTAGCGTTCTAGAGCTCGTCCTTTTAAATTCTTCCACGTGCATTTCATGTCAGTGCTTGAAACTAACTCCAAATTAGAAATATCATGCCTGCGAGGGAGGGGTTACAGGAGATTAAGATAAAATATAAAATAATGTGCATTTAATCATAGAAAAATGAAAAGAATCACTCACTGGCTACAGTAAAGCAATACTGCTACGATGTGTTTACACTTTCCACCTAACCCTGCTTTGCAACTGCATTTCATTTGTACAATGTCGACAATATTACTGTCAGTGCCCTTCACCCTCAGAACACCTTCAATTGTGTGAGGATGATCATTTATTGCACTCGACTGCTGGCACAGGCAGTACAATACGAATTTACTCTGGGTTTTTTCACATAGTCCAATTAATAACATATTTTCAGACTTTAGAACACTCTCCCCTTCTACCATATTACGAGAATCTGCATTAGCCTCAGCGTACTTATAAATTTCTCTCAAAAATATTGTCTTCATTTTTCACCATTTTATCGGATTTGCCGGTTTGAATCTGTTCTCTACCCACATGACATGTGTTCGAAAAATGCGCCATTAGCTGTACTTGAAAGGCGGCCATGTTGCGGCTGATAACAGCGCCGCCACCGGTATTGAGCGTCCCCAATGGGATAGAAATATCGAAGCAGCCTCCATCATCCACTTTCTCTTGAACACCCAACCATCCAGCATTTTCCATCCAGAGGCTTTGATTCGGTGTTAATGAAACGACATTTTTCATAAGAGTAGTGATACCCACATTCTTGACTTTATCAATCTCAATAGAATTAATTTCATAGCGAATCTCTTGAAATAGATGACAAATAGCGTTATTCACAAATTTTGTGAAAGTTGCCTTCGAGTTATCAGATTTTAATAGTTTACCAGTAATGTGCAAATGACTTTTGCTTCGTAAAATGCAGAGATTCTGATTTTGTACAGTGATACGAATTTTATCGCTATTATCAAGTCCTGTTGAGGCATATGGCTGATGTGCATGATCTCATAATGGGCGATAGATTCCTCAAACACCGGAGGGGTTTTAATATTTAGGCTTTCCTCCATGGTATCCAATAAATGAATAATATTTTTATTTGGCAAAAACGTTCTTTCCACTTTTTTCACGACTAGGCTGAGACTCTTGAGGAACTTCACATTCTGAAGTGTTAACACCTTGAAGCCAGTACGCGAACTGATAGAAGAGAGGCATGGTTGGTTATTATTATAGGAATATCCAATCTTGCGATTATATACAATGCCCATGATTATGAAATGGTTTTGATGTGTAGCCTGATGGTGATTATTTCACCTCTGAAAGTCATCAAGTCACCGTCTTGATCAACAATTCGAAGCTGTAAATCGTTTATTGTTTCCACAGACACTGGTAAATAAATAACTTCTGATGGAACTTCTATTATTTTATATCCGGGGGCACCACTGGGAAAAATTCATGAATTGTATGACGTTTATCACTATTGTTGTATGCTCCCGTGGTGATATTATATTCGACTCGTAAGGCCTTCACTTTAATAATGGCCAGAGGCTGATCAGATTCATGAGTTTTATTAGCATCCAAAACTCTAGGGGTGAAACCGAGAAGTCGACCTATTGAATTCCCAGGCCTCAAGTCCAAATTCTTATTACAAATCAATTCACTCCGTAGAGTGCTATTATTACTTTTGATATTTATAATAATATCGCTTTTTTCTATGCTTTTTACGAGAAATTTCGCAATATCATCGATTTTATAACTCCCCGTTGGGATAGTGATAACTGTATTTCCAATGTGTAATTTATTATTGCTCATATCAACGTTTGGGATGGAATTGAAGGTTAAAAACTCCACTAGACCGAGAACATAATTTTTCTCAGGAAAAAGTTCAATTGGGGGAAAGTATTTTACTTCCAACACTGATGACGCTCCTGAGACTGTCTGATGCTTTCACACCCCTGCCTGATTTTCTCATACCCAAACTTGATGTCTTCATCCCCAAGCTTGATTTCTTCACGCCCATACCTAATTTTGTTTTAGTCTTCATCGCGTTTGTTATGAATGGAGCTGCAGCTTTTTCTCCTAACGTAGCATCTGGAGCAGAAACACGTCGCCAAGCTCGTTCTGCGAGTGTCTTATCGCCTTCGTGTCGAACTGCAATATTTTCACGATTTTTTGAGTCTACAATGTCGTATGCTTTACAGGCAGAATCAAGGGGGTTAATCCCAGGATCTCCTCGAGCTAATCTTTTTGCCAATTTTGTACCTGGTCCACAATACTAATAGCCTGGTAGATGCAATTCAACGGGGAGATTGTTGATGATTTTATTCAATAATCCTCTCCCCTTTTTGTTAACACGAGATCTGTGCACAATCATGTCCTCAACGGAACTGTGACATTTTTGGGGTCGCTCGGTATTTTTCCCACTATTTTCATTAGCCTACCAATTCGTCTATTAATAACCGCAAACTTCCGTTTGATTTCAATTTGCAAGTCGCTAATTTTTTTATTCAAAGTCTCTAGTGTGACAGCATCATGTGGGTCCACTGGTGTTGCAACATTACTCAGCCTTTTATCAAAGAGATCATAATTGCCTTCTGCAGGGAGTTTGTATCCATCGCCTAGTGGACTTCGATTGTAAGAGCCACTATCTGAGGTTAAGTGACGACCGAACACATCAATACTCATTTCGCAAATGATAACAGTTGGCAATATGCGTGTACTAATATATAATTCCATCCTCCCGAAGTTCCTTGACAACCGGAATAATTTCATTATCATGACTCGGATTTCCTGCGCCCTGCGAAGCCACGAGTAATCGAAGACGGTCCACAAGTTCATTCGGATCATTCCAATAAATATAAACTGTGAAATATATTTCTCATATTTCTTGCCCTTCACTTCTCGGATGCCTCAACGAGGTTTATAATTTTTTTGATGTCCATTAGTAGCAAGGATAGTATTTTTATATGCGGCAATATCACTCTTACTAATCCAAGTATGATCAGGATTTTTCATGAAGAGGAGCTCCAATAATCCCTCAGTGCAAGCGTATTCCATGGTTTTCACTTTGATAAATTCATCCTCAAAAAATATGGGGGAGTCTCCAATAATAAAATTACGTGTAAGTTGGCGAACACCATAAGCCTTGTCCCATTTTGCTGAATTGATTTGTACCAAGTATTTTCCTGCAAGAGTGTCTGCATCGAAAACATTTGCTTTTTCTTCTTCTTCTTCTTCTTCTTCAGTGCTCGTCAATTCACTCAGGTTGTGTGAATTATCAATGCCTGGAACTACATTATCATCGTGACGATTTCCCAAGGATGGAACTATAGTATCATTGTGAGACTTTTCCATGAATGTGGTCATAGTTTCATTCAAGGTGTGAATAAATGAAGAATCGTCAGCTGTGGACTCATAGCCATATTTAGAGCTATTCCCGTTCCCCAAAATTTGTGTGGGTGTTTTTGGGGTACTCTTATGCCCGAGTTTTCGTCGATTTTTGTAACCAATGGTCCTGAAGTTTTTTCTGTTGTCGACCAACTCGAGGTTTTTCTCCTTATCATCAGACAATTTCACATTCCGAGCATTTAATTCTTGAAACGGTTTCACAATGAAAACTTCATTCATTGCTTCATCGACATTTTCTCTACCCAATTTCAATAATTTATGTTTTCGGGGGGGGGGGAGCGCTAGTGAGCTGTGATAAGTGGCGGTTATGGTTTTGGACGCTTGGGCTTGTAAATTGGTCTCTCGTGTAATTATCCCTCCATGGTGCACTTATAATTGGTTGCAGTGAGTGCTCTGAGTTTTCCCGAACATTTTGAGATATCTTTTTCTGTTGGAGGCTGGTAGTTTATACTGGATAAGTCGATCTGAAAGGAAGGCATGGTGTGATGGAGGTTATGTTTGCA